TTGTTGTCTCCGTGTACTGGAAGCTTGTGACACTATAACAAATTCCTTGTATGTGCAAACATACTTGGCAATAAAGTTCTTTCATAAAGCTCTTTCTTCTTCTATCATTTGTATTATCAACGTGAATGTTAAAATCTCTGACAATTAGCGCTTTATCAACAGTAACCAATAGGTCTGAGAGGAAATCTGCAAATTATTTGAGGAAATCTGTATACGGCTGTGACGTCTGCTTAAAATCATGGATGATCATTGGGGTTTTATGTCTTTAGAGACCCATCTTAGCCTTTTGACATTTGGATATAAATTACAGTCCTGCCCCAGATTCTACATTTATATGGGTGCTAAATGGCCAATGGTTCCCCCCACTATCAAGGAGATGCAAAACAGTTTCACCACTCTCGTCTCCCCATTGAACTTCAAACACATTCCAAAGAGACGTAAATGACCTCTTGAGCTAGGCACTAATGGGCCTGGCTAACCAGCAAACTACAACATGCTCACATAACACACACCCACACACACACACATAAAGATATTTCTTTATTTAGACTATAATTAATCAGTTATAATTGTGTCTGGTATATGCATGTGTTATTTGTATGTTTCCCTATTGTATTAGCCTAGTTACAACTCTTTATTTGTATTGTCTGCTCGGTGGACGGACAGATCAAATAATTATATTGATTCTGCTACAGTTAATTCTAAGATCTAATCTAAATATTTATTATTAATTATAACCAGTTATAATTAAATTATCAAAATCGCCTGTTGGAACGAAGAAATCTTCCTTCATTGCGATAAAGATTGATTTGAGCGATGTTCCTCTTATCATCTTTTAAAGGCCTTAGCTGATTGTATTGCTAGATTCAAGTCATTGCGTATTCCAATTTCATTCAACTAGACGATCTCACTCCTTTAGGTTTAACCATTACAGCAGCTGACTAATGCGTGCCTAATGCAGATCTGATCATAAGAACACTGCGAGCCAGTAACTGATTGGAATGTAAATGGGAGCTTTTGAAACCTTGATCATGTGAAATTTTTATAACAACAGCGAAGAAACCCTGTTGCTTATAATTTTTATTGTGTACTGGCAGCGAAGAAATCCTGCCACACATCATTGTGCAGTTAAGTTGCAAAAACTGTAATAATCTGTTGGGATCTAAATCACATTGTTCTTGTGATAACTGCAATAAATTGTCCGTTAGAATGAGAATAATCTCACTAAAAACGCGATCAGTTTTAAGCACAATTGGAGTTAAGGCACAGTACCTTAAACTAACGCTAGAGGGCAGGCTGTTTAAGTATCTAACACTTCTTGAACTCCACCTCTACCCTCCTGATTTCACCTTGTGTGGGCTCACCCACTCCACCTTGTGGGCATTCTCAGCTAGGTCGACTCGCTCTCCCTAAATCCATGTACTTCGATTTGTTTTATTTTTAATTTTCCTTCTGCTTCTTTAGTCATTATTATCATTCTCACCATTCTAGTTACCTGCCGTTTTTTTTCTTTATTTTAGTATTACTTTTGTTTCTACTTTATTATCTTTTATTACTTTTATCATTTTTGTTTTGTTTTGTTCCTTTTTATTTATTTATTTTATTTATTTTTTTTATCAGGTTTCTCTCCCCCTCTTCTCTCTCACTTCACCACTCACTTATTTAAATTTAGTTTAAACAGTATTTGAATTCAAATTTAAAGTTAATTTCTGTATTCTAGCCATTTTTGTTCACCTACAGGTAACACTCCCTCTAGTGCTTAGTTGGTGAAGTGACGGTTGCCTCAACAGCGGATCACAGCAAGCTGTCACGGGATCCTGACTGGATCACCTTAATCCATCACTAAGCCTAGCCCATAGAATACTAACCCATCCAGCTAGCAAAACCCCAAACAACCTGCTATCCCAGCAAGGCCAACACAGTAGATGTTATGACCCAGCAGCGCCCTCTACTCTGTAGGCCCTGTCGTTTGTACCCATCAAACAGACCAAACATAGAACATATAATTACTATAATTGCAGCCTGTTAATGCTGTAAGGACTTGCATTGGCCTTTTGTGTTGTCCCTCTCTCTCTCTCTCTCTCTCTCTCTCTCTCTTTTCACCAGTGAGCCAGCATGTCTCGATCATCCAGCCCTGATGCCCACTGGGATAGACTAGAGTCCTGGCTGAGTGCCATGACTGGTAGCCTCCTGTCTGAAGCCGCCGGG